CACCACTCGACGGATTACCGATATTTGTTAATCGTTTACCCTGCACATCATAATCTCCATTGCTATCAAGCTTGAATCCGATACCAGGCCGCCCTTGTATAAAACTCATGGATTTGCTCCTTTTACGACCAAATTTATCGATAGTTTCATAAGACATCTTCTACCTGCGGCGACTATATTGGTACTGGCTAGACCATCGACAAGTAACGGACTTTATCAATCCTTAATATATTATGATGTTATATATATATATATATATACATTAATAACATTAATAAACGATGCCTTCTTCGCGCAACTCCTCTATTATTGACATTATCTCATTATCGTGTCCAGTGTGGCCAGCCATTTTAGAACCCCACAGTAGTCGGAGGCGGTCAACCAGCTCTTTTGCTTCATTCCAATAAGCATACTCTTTGTGTTGTTTACTCACGACTTTTCTGTATGGTAATGATTTGCTCATTCCTCTACCACCTTTAACTTCATTTAACAGGAGTTGACTCCTCATTTTATGCGGTGTGCCGATTAATGGCTTTATGACTAGCTGATATTTCTTCCTCGCACTATTATTCAAACCTTCTCTGATGTCATAATTCTTATATGGCGCTCGTGTAGTCTCCAACAAAGTGGTGTATATTCTTTTATCTTGATCATCGATAGTTCTTGGCACATGTTTCATAAAGATCAAATCGTATAATCCAGTTGTTGCTGGAAACGCTACGCTTCTCTTATTACCGCGCCATAATTCGATTTGGTCTGCAGGAAATCGGATTTCCATATTACCCATTTTCAATTCCCCTGTTTTGGAATCGATGTGAACGCCATATGTTGTATCATAATTCGAGTTATTTTCTTTCAAATTCCTCAAATGCTCCATTATTTTGCCCTGTAAGTCGCTCGCGGTTGTTCCATCTACAGAAGGATACACTGTAATATCACTGCTTGAAATTTGATACGAAGATGTTGGTGGTGTTTCCAATAGAGTTGTATACTTAGGTCCTCCGTTATGAGGCGATGATGGTAGCGGTTGAAAGCTATTGCTGAAATTCCCAGACTCCCCATGTTTCTTGAACGGCTTCGTCGCTACAGCATTCGCCTCATTACTCGATATTGGTGTGGAATAATATGTCGGGTGTGCTATTGTCAACGTTGAAGGTTTGCTATAACTCTTCGGAGTAGCTGCTGGCATTAGATTTTGCTTGGCTACTGCCGCCGTTGCTGCCGCGGTGATAACCTTCAATGGTTTTGTCAGCGGCTCATAAGCTTTTTCTAACATCATTTGGTTACTGGTGAGTTCGCTCTTGAGACTTTTAAATTTATTCCTTACCGCATCGGTTGCTTCAACAAGTTGGCGTTTGAGGTGTATTTCTGAAGCGATTTCACTACTAGGTGTGCTCATTGTGCTATCCAAAGGTTGAATGAAGTCCATGCAGTTGCTGTTTTAGGGGTATATGAAGCAGTCGAACCCTTTCCTATAACGGCCCTCATGAATTTCACTATCCTTATCTATAACGAGAAACCCGTATCTATCTGTCCAACTTTGTGCACACATTTCTTGAAATTGTTTAAATGTTACATCTGGAGATACATGATCGGAATAAATGTGGTGTAGATTCATATCATCCTGCCTAAACATGATTATGAAGTTGGAATTATCGCGAATCAGCTGTTTCGGCACTCTCGAATACGTTTGTGGTAGATAAAAGCAATCCACATTTTTATGGCGCTCCATTGAGAAATATGATCTGATTACATCTTGTTTTTCACATATCACATCGTCGAATATGAAAATACTGTGTGGCTTCGCATCTTCCGGTTCAACAATGTCCACATTATTACTATATGTATAAAACCCCAGTCCCTTTATCGGTTCCAATACTTTCCGCAAGTACTCATACTTGGGTTGATACAACGATTTTGAATAGAGATAAACATTGGCGAATCGTAAACCATTATCGTTGGTGAGGAGGGATATCATAACATTCGTTTTGCCGCAATTTGATGGGCCGATAATGAGACTGCGTATAGTATTAGGTAGTAGGAATCCATGCCGACGTTGTGTAATTATACCATTTCCTAACCCTACTTTTTCATCCAAGTTGTCAACTCGCAATGTTTCTTGCTGCTGAACAATCTGCATTGTATGATGGTCAAATGCTATATAATGAATCGCAAACTCTGTGAATGTCATTTATATTATGAAGCTGAAGCGATACACATCGGCAAGCGATAACGGTGAAAAAAGTTTTCGAGGAAAGAGGACTGGCAGAGGATTTGTTAATACTTCAATTAATAAATTACCGGTCGAATTACATATTCCCGGCGGCTATCAGTATTGTGGTCCTGGAACAAAGTTACAGGAACGATTATCTCGAGGTGATCCAGGCATTAACCAATTAGATAGAGCGTGCAAGGAACACGATATCGCATATTTCAAGCATCCGAACGATTTATCTGCAAGGCATTCTGCCGATAAGGAATTGGAAGAATCCGCGTGGAAACGTGTTAAATCAAAGGACGCATCTGCAGGAGAGAGGGCCGCATCTTGGCTTGTTACCAATATAATGAAGGGAAAGAGGCGTTTTGGTATGGGATGCAGCAGCGGAGTGAAGAAACGTCGAGTGTCGAGGAAGAAGAAGAATACTACCAAGAGTGGGAGAAAAATTGCTTTTGGGTCCGGCATAGTGCACAAAGTTCGCAATGTGTTGCGACAAGTGGGAAAGAAGGGGGCACTCGCCAAAAACTTGGCCAAGACTTCTCTTATGGCGATTGGAGCTGCTAGAAAATTCGTCAAGATGGCTGGTGGAAAGAATAATATCCGAACACCTCGCATTATACCAATTCCTAAAGTTGGAGGAATTCTTCCACTCATACCCATTTTTGCGGGATTATCGGCATTGGGGAGTTTGGCTGCAGGTAGTGCTGGTATAGCTCGAGCTATTAATTCAGCTAAAGAGGGTAGGGAGCAACTCTCTGAAGCGAATCGTCATAATAGACATTTGGAGGCGATCGCTCTAGGAAAGATCGGTAAAGGAGTATATTTGAAGCCGTACCGAAAAGGACTGGGCATTTACTTGAAGCCGCAAAGTTCAAAAAACTAGCAGGGTTACCTCGAAGGGCGTTGACGGACATCGATTTATCACAATACATAGAGAAAATGGGTGTTCCAAACTTTCGAGGTATATTTATGAGAGATAATCTACCAAATTCTCCACCGCGCCACATAGAATCAGCCATTCTGAATCTCGATGGTATTCGAGGTAAAGGGACACATTGGGTTGCTTATAAAAAACGTGGTGGGGTAGTCGAATATTATGATAGTTATGGCGATTTGCCGCCACCCGAAGAGTTGGTGAAATATTTAAGGAGGGGATCGAAAGCTATCAAAATCGTATATAACTATGACCGTCAACAGGATTACAACACAGTCTGGTGTGGTCATTTGTGCTTGAAATTTCTCTCGTCGAAGAGTGGAAACTACGTATTATAATATGGATAGAAAAAGCATCAAACAAATGGGGCACGCATTATTGGCTTACTCGAGATTACGATCTTTGCTGAAGATGAGTGAGAAACAGCTCGCTGATATGCCGAAAGAGGTTTTAATCGGATGCGCTTCACATGAGATAGCTCTAGTGTGGGATAAATTACCTGAACAATTACGCAACGATCAAGATGTATCAAAATATCGATTTTGTGAGGAGCACCACGAACACCGCCGCCAAGAGGATAGTGACCATTCCAGCGCAGATGTCAATGATGGGCCGATACCAAGAAAAATATTATGCTGCTTTTGTCAAATAGAAGATGTAAATGTGGCAACTAACAATAAATTCGATATTAATGCTTCGCCGAACGAAAACAAGAACATTCTTCATTGTTGCAGGCAGCAATAAGGTTGATACTTCTTACTACTGCTGCTGTATACACTGAAGCTTGTTGTTTGGTTTTTGCTGTGTTTGCTTTTCCAATTGTAAAAAGTTATGTCGCAAACATTCACCATTTCTGGAGATCGCAGTATCTTGAGTGCAGATTTTTTTCCACCAATCGAACTCGATGTGAGGAATACTTACGGCTTGGGGTTACACGGTTTCTATTCATACAACTCTATACTCAATATAGATGAGACAAATAACAAATTGGGTATTTGGTTCGAAGAGGGAAGCGTTGTTCTTCAGATACCACCAGGCGCCTATGAGATAGATGAAATCAATAGAGCAATACAAAAGGCTATAGAGAGTTGGACTCCGCTGAATGGGCGAAATATTGATGATGTATTCTCCCTTCGAGCTAACAATAATACGCTCAAATGTGAACTCAAGTCCGAAATTATGTTAATTTTGAGTATTAACGATTCTATAGCCAAAGTCTTGGGCTTTGAACCGAAATATTACAAGCCCAATGTTTTGCATGAATCCACTTTACCTGTGAACATCATAAAGGTACGATTGATACGGGTTGATTGTAATATCACTACTGGAGCGTACCTCAATGGTGAGGAGGTTCACACGCTTTACGAGTTCGATGTCGATGTGGAGCCTGGATACAAACTCTCAAAGGAGCCGAAAAATATTATATATCTACCAATCAGTCCGACAGGGCGTCAGTCTATCGACAACATCACACTGAGAATTTTGGATGATAATGACCGATTAGTTGACTTTCGCGGAGAGAAGATTATAGTAAAATTGGAATTGAAACAGCTCGATTAATTATTACAACGGTTTGGAAAAATGGGTTTCTGCTTCGGAAACCAATCAAAACGTGTATCTCTCGCTGCAAACCCCACTATTCTACACACTACCGTTAAGAAGAAGTGTAAACGGGGTAGAGGATTCATTCAAAGACAGCTCACCGGTCAGGTAGGACGTCATAGATTATCTGCGAGCGATATAAATTTTTTGGAATCTATTGGTCTGACAGTACGACAAAGACGACGACGAACGAGTAGAAATTAGTGAACAATGGTTGTCACAAGTTCTACTAGCTTACAATTGGAGGTGTTTGATGAACCAATTTTCGATCATTCACTAATTAGCCTACATGAGCATACATACAAACCATATGGTTCACCATCATTCAAGAATTCTGATGAAATCAGGATAGCTGTCAACTTTCAAGATTTGATACTCGATATTTCTGATAGCTACATATATATTGAGGGGAAATTCACACCAGATGATGCAACGAAATCCTGCTATCTATCTAACAATACCTTAGCCTTCCTCTTCGATGAAATTCGTTATGAAATGGGTGGCGAACAAGTATGTATGATTCGAAAACCAGGCATTACTACCACAATGAAGAGCATGATCTCTTATGGAGATTCTAACGCTAAATTTCTTGAAACAGTCGGATGGGGAATTGATAGCGAAAATCAGCCAATTCTAGACAAATCTAGTCACATATTCAGTGGAAAACTACCGCTAAAATATTTAATGGGGTTCGCTGAGGATTATAATAAAGGTATATTGAATGTGAAACAGGAGCTGATACTCATCATAGCTCGATCATTCAAAAACTGCTATATAGGAGAAGTTGATGCCAGTGTGGAGATTAACAAAATCGAATGGAAGATAGGACATATTATGCCATCGGATAAGCAGAGGTTGAAATTACTGAACCGTCTCAATAAAAGTTCTACAGCAAAAGTGAAAATTGCATACAGGATGTGGGATCTGTATGAATTACCGTCAATTCGTGAAACATCTTCAGACATTTGGGCTGTTAAAACCACCAATAGTCTCGAGCGACCAAGGTACATTATCATAGGCTTCCAAAATTCTGGTAACACAGATAATAGATCCAAGGATACCACCCAATTCATTCATGCGGGAGTCAACAATATTCGACTGTATTTGAATTCGGAAGTTTACCCTTATGAACGGTGGAATTTGGATTTTGGAAAAAAGTTAGATGCTGTAGCCTATTATGCATACGATAATTTCCAACGAAGCTATTATGGTAAAGACATGAGCGAACCAATGATGAGTATTGAGGAGTTTAGAAAAAATCCGTTATTCATCATAGACTGCAGCCATCAACCGGACACATTGAAATCTTCAACTGTCGATATCAAGTTGGAGTTTGAGACACGCCAATCGAAATTTCCATCTAATACCAAGGTATATGCGCTCATTCTTCACGATGCATTTTTGACATATAGCGCACTAGATGGTTCAATACAGTTGGGTGCTCCTTGAATACACTCTACAGATCTGGAGCAAATTCTAGCCTCCGTCCACCTCCACCACCACCGCCACAGCCGACCATGAGCATTCGAAGCCTATAATTGTATTAGATCAGTTTTTTCATTATTATTATTATGTTCATTATTATTTATTATCATCATGATTATTATTATTATTATTATTATTATCGACACATGTATCTGCACTAAATTGAATAAAAGTAAACAAATGTTTTACAAATCATCGTTTTTATTTCTTGATTGATAGACAATGAAAAATGCGAGCTCATCATCATCATTCCATAATTTATATATATACATGCAAATGATAATAGTATGATTGAAGCATCTCTTAGCAATATCATCATTTCGATTCTTCTTCTCCTTCCTCCTCGTTGTCGGATGATTCTGGAATTACCCCCAAGTTGTACTTCCGTATCAGGCTGTTTGGTAGGAAATCAAAAATTTCATACAGAAATTGGTCCAAGTCCTCTCCCACCATTGCTTCAAGAAATTCCTCCAAAGTGAAGCTACCATATTCGAACCGGGCGCATAACATATAACCCTTTCTATATTGTTCGGCTTGTTTACAGAGTCGTTCAACTTGTTCTCGATCGAAGCATATGCTCAAATCATAATTTGTCGCATGCATTGCATCACGTGACAAATCAGAGAACTGACATTTCAACCTGCTCACTGCTGATTTGATGTCTTCCGCTGCCGGCCAGAATTGACTAGAATAATACATCCACATGTTGGCGAACACGAGTCTGTAAATGATGAAAAAAGTTTGGTAATGATGAGATTATATGGGAGATTTGTCTTTCATTGAATTCTTTTTGGAACCTGATTTATTACTTACCGCAAACGGTACGATCTGCGTTAGTGGCTTGTGTTAATGTAATAATAATTATCATATAATTTTTAAACCCATTTCACTAAACTATACCAAAAAAAAACCTATCAGAAATAATTAAGTAGAATAATTCCGAATCAATTTTGCTTGAAGTCAAACTTGATGAGAGCCCTCGTTTTTGCACCTACATATAATGGCTCACTCTGGCCCAAATATGCTAGAGTATAAAGACCATTTGAAGAATTCATCTCATCAATGTCGCTGTCACTCAGCAACTCTACAACTCTTTTGGGCAACCAACATTTCAGACTAGCCTCAGTTTCTTCATCGTACAATATTACAAAACCGCTCCTACCAAACCTGGTTCTACATAGTGATATTTTCTTGACCACATAGCTTTTATTCAAGAGTAGTGATGAGATAACAGTTTGCTTGATAATATCATTGTCTTCGTTAATTCGATTATTTATCGCTAACAAATCAATTTTGGGAGCTGCCATTATAAATTCTTCTTTGTTGAGTGAAAAGAGGTGTAAAAAGTATATAAATAATTTTTACTCACATATAACAGTTCACGTACACTTTTATTGCAAACACTTTATATTTCCAATCTATTTGAGCGGGTATATTTTTTATGTGCAAGTTGGTGGTGCGTATCTTCCGTATTATTAGGAGAACTATGCTCTCGCAGACGATACAATGATGTATTAATAGGAACTGGGATATGTGACGTAACACAGCACCCCACTTCTACCAATACGACCTCGACCAGCCTACTCCCATTTTCGAGGTCGCACACGCTTTCACCTCCCTCTCCAAGGTCGAGGTCTCTCACTCTCTTTCTCTCCCTACAACTCAAGGTCACTCGTTCCCAAGGTCACATATGCGACGGTTACTTGTACAACCTTCCTTCAAGGTCACTTTGTCTCGCCCTCAAGGTCACCTCCGCGTTCAAGGGCGCGCTGTCGACACTTCACTATACGAGGTTACTCCCACCCAAGGTCAGACTTGTTCAAGGTCACTCCCGCCGAAGGTCACTCCTGCCCAAGGTCACTCCGCCCAAGGTCGGAGGACGGTGACCTAGGGCGGAGAGCCAGAACCGGCCAATCTTTACTACTAACATCCAATGTTTACTACTTCACTGTTTGGTTATGTCGCGACCTTGTGACTGTCAGACGATTTTTACTCGTATTCTTCTTCCGTATGTGGCCAATTCCTCTGCCGTGAATTAGTCGTTCTACGCATAAATATTTTAATTCCGATACCCCGTCCGGACGTCGCTCAAAACGGACTCAGCTTTGTAAGGATATTCGCATTTGGACATTGTTCCAATCGGACTCAACCATGTAAGATTTTCGCATTTTTGCTGTCGCCATCTCCTGGCGTTCGTCAGAATTATCAAGTGAAATGGGGTCATGACCATGATCTTGAACCATGACCATGTGATGACTGACAAAACTGTGTCAATGTCAAGGTCGTCTTGATTTCGTTTTCCGCCTTCCGGCGAAGACATTTTTGCGGTAGGCCATCATTCTTTCGTGAGTGTCATATGCACGATGTCATGTGATCATCATCTCTGCGAGCAGCACGTTTCTTAGCTGGTGAGTCGATAATTTTTTTCAAATCCTTTGGTAGCATTTTAATGCTAAAAATATTCATCCCTTCAAGGTTCAATCTTTAGTGCCTACAAATGGGGCAAATTTCCCTGATGAATTTCATGCGATCCCGATCTTCAGAAACCGGCCACGTGAGTCAAGAGATCATCGTCCAACCATCACCACGTGTCTCCTCTAAATTAATGTCGAGCTATCAGAGCTTAATGAAACCCTCAATCAAAAAGAGGTGAGTTGTTTTATCTCCCCATTGGCATTCAGGCGGTCTCTTTACGCCCCATCACTTATTTTAGGGTTTTAAGATGGAATAGTCCAACACTGGTCAATGTTCCAAGGGCCTTTTATCACCGAGTCAATTTTCCTTATTTCACGCTGGAGGGCCACTACACACCCACCATGTCCAACTACTGGTCGTCAATTGGGATCAATGGTTTCCTGGCCGTTGACTTGAAGTTGCAGCCTCAACCTTCTAGCTGCTAGATCTGAAGCTACACTTCGCCAGCCACTAGTTTCGAAGCACCATTTCAATGTCACCATCCGGCAGTCATCTATAGTTGTGTGCCGCGACACGTCTCTGCATGTTGGATAACTCAGGTTTTTTTTTATTAAGTCCATTTTACCTTCATTTTACTTTCATTTTACATACTTGCATATAATTTTTTATGGAGCTATTACATTTCAAAAATCTACACTAAGTATGTTCAAACCCTACTTGAACTTTGGAAATATCATGAATCATTACAACGTTCAGCGGAAAATGCGCATATTGACTCCCAAAAATTCATGAATTTTCAGGGTATAATCAACATCATTCAATTATAATAGTCCAATAACAATATTCTTCAAAATGGGTTTATAGGAATTTGAACTAAAGTGTCAATCATATAAGTATCATATCTGATAACATCAGGAATTGAAGAGCTTCCATAATATTCTACTATAATGTATATAATTATTAATGTATTTCATGAAGGAATTTTTCATCATTAAAATTGTGTGTATTTTTGAAGTTTCCATGTTTTTACTGATATCTCTCTCTCTTCAAACTCAACCTACAGGTTTCTGATTTTACCCTAGACGTACTATCTATGTTCTGAAAGAATCAGTGGCGTCCAAAAATTAATTATATACTCAAATACATATTAAATTCACAGTCAAGGTGATATTATCTAGTAATTGATTTTAAAATATTGAGATATCTGAGAAATAGCAAAGGTATCAACCCACACCCATATGCCGCCGACGAAAAGCTACCAGGTGCAGTGAAAAAGGTAAATTTTACGTTTCACTATTTGGCGCCTTTTTTAACGTGGTAATTTGCTCAACATACAGTATAATAACTTTACAGTTCTCAGCTTATTATAGAATTAAAAGAAGAGAGATTTCAGTGAAGGTTGAAAGCTTCAATATTTTTTTTAAGGTTTATAAATATTGGACACGTTCTCTAGAACATTGTAATTGGACATATTTTCTTGGATATTTAAATTGGACTTATTTTGCTGGACATTCACAATTCACATGCGCCCTTGAAATTGGTGACTGGCTACCTATACCAATACAAAAAACACAAAAAAAATATTCTTTTATTATTCTCTTCAGGATGAGATATTTTATTTCAACTTTTGATTTGATTTTGATTTCGAGTACAAAATTGCATTAACTTTTTTCGAAAAAGGATCTGTTTATGCACTATAAGCAATGCAGTTTTGTGCAATCAATTGAATTTTGTTTTCCTTAAACAATCAAATTTGGATTTGGTACTTTGATATTTATTTATTAAATAGAAATATTTTTGCTGCTGTAAAGCAATATGTTTTTTGGTTCATAAATTCCTTGAATGGAAATATTCTTGCTTGGGTGAAGCATATTTTTGGTTCTACAATTATTCCTTAGATGGAAAATTTTTGTTAATGAAAATCAATATTACCTGCTGAAAGTGTGTTTTTGGTTGATGTTTCTTCTTGATTGAAAGATATGTTTTTTTTGACTGCTTGAAAAATGAGCATAGTTTTTGAGCTTCTAATCTTGAATGAGTACAAGGTGACGACTTTGTCTCATTTCTAAATAATTCTCATAAGAGATATAGAAAATTTGCTTTTCATGAATATTTGGAAATAAGTTCCATTTCTTGAATTTTTTTCTACAGATTTTGGTTTAAAATTCCTTATCTGATTTTGATATTAATGATAACTTTGATTTTGATTCCATTTGATTTAATATACAAGGTGAATCCTTGTTAAGATTTTGATTTACAGGGTGATTCCCTGATATTGAATATTTGAATTTTTGAACTTTGAGTAATTGATTGAAACTTTACAGGTCTATAAATTTTTTTCTTACTTCTCTTCGACATACAGGGTGGACCTAATACTTTACATACAGGGTGATTCCCTGATATTATATACATTTGAATATTTATTACTGGTCTATGATTTTTTTTTGTTACTTCTCTTCCACATACAGGGC